TGCTGCTGCTCTGCAGGTCTGGATTCTTTCGACTTGGGAGTTGTAATGGCAGCAGACTGGAACGAACATCTTAATGCAGCTTCTCTTTCTCATTTTTATAAACTCACGAGAGGATTGGGTTCCACTTACCCCGCTTTTGCTGCTCCCATCAACCTCCCTGAAGATACCCGTAAGCCACGCTCCAGTAGCAGCAGCAGCAGCAGCAGCAGGAGTAGCAGCGGTAGCAGCAGCAGCAGCACAGCAGCATCACCGGTACTTCTAGCAGCAGTAGTAGTGGTGGCTCTGCAGCACGACTCGCGATAGCAGTAGTAGCACGAGTAGCACTGCCAGGAGCAGCAGCAGCAGCAGCAGCACGAAAAGCAGCAGCAGCAGCAGAGCGGCATTGCTGTGCGTTGTGCTGCTGCTGCTGCAGCCGACAACCTCAAGATGACTGCACATTTGGTGGAGGCCCTGGGGGGCCCCGCAGCAGAATTGGAAAGAAAGTATTTGCCCTTTTTGTGGGGCTGTGACCGGCTGGGGAGGCCCCTGGGGCCCCCCGAGGGGGCCCCCGGGGGGGCCCCCACCCTCCACGGGGCCCTTCGGCAGCAGGGCTTTTCTTTAATTAGCACTTGCTACCGAGCTGGCTTCTCTTACAAGTGGCAGCGCGGCTGCAGCTACCCTTCCTTCAAGGCCCCCAAGGTACTTGCTGCTGCTGCTGCTGCTGCTGCTGCTGCCGCTGCTGCTGCGGGATGTTTTGCTTCGTGTTTGCTCTTTCTGGGTTCTTTTTGAGTCATTTTTGCTTCATTTTGTTTCTTTTTGGTTCTCTTTTGCTCCTCTTTGTTTTCCTTTTGGTCTTTTTCTTTCTTTTGGCTCTTTTTCGTATTTTCTGGTCCTCTTTGTGCATTTTCCTCGTTTCTTTTGCTGCTGCTGGTTTCTGGCTGTGCTGCTGGTCTTGCTGCTGGAGTTTGCCAGTTTTTTGTCATTTCTGCTGCTGCCAAGCTGGACTTAAATGCGAAGAAGAGAGTACTATTAGTGTGCAATTTTTGGGGCTTTGAACTTTGCGAAATTGCGCGAAAATGGGGCTCTTTGCATGCATGCATGCGTGCATGCATGCAGGGCCACACGGCCTTCAACGCCTTGAAGGGCTGCCTCGCGAAGAAGACCCTCAGCTCGCCCAGAGGGGCGGGCTTTCTGGACCGCGTGGCTGTGCGGCTGCCAGGGGAGAGCAGCAGGAAGCTGCAGCAGCTGCTGGCAGCGCGTGCTGCAGCAGCAGCAGCAGCAGCAGCAGCAGGGGAGCGCGAGAAGAAAAGACTCAAAACTGAAACCGAAACTAAAGACCTTCCTGATGTCTTTGCTTCCGTCACTGCTGGCGCTCAAGTCTTCGACCTCCGCAGCGACCACATGCAGATTGTCACTGTCGTCGAATTCCTCAAACTCAAGTCCACCAACGAACAATAAACTGCTGCTGCTGCTGCTGCTGCTGCTGCGGCTGCGGCTTCGGCTGTGAACGCTGCGGCTGAGGCTGTGGCAGCAGCTGCTGCGGCTTGACTGCGGCAGCAGCTCCTCCGGTTATTACGGCTGCTGCGACGGCTGCTGCGACTGTGGCTGCTGCTGCAGCTGCAGCTGTTGCTGCAACTGCTGCTGCAGCTGCTGCTGCAGCTGCAGTTATGGGAAAAGACACATAGCACATTTGGAGAGAAGACACGGAGCGACGCCAGCAGCAGCCCACTACCAGCACTGACGGGATCCGATCCCAAGTCAATTGGGATCGGATCCCAGGATCGTTGAAGGGACAGAGCGCCTGAGCGAACACAGTGGAGGCCCATTTGGGAGCCCCCAGGGGGCCCCTCGAGGGCCCCGTGGGACCATCTTGGGGGCCCCCAGAGGCCCCAAGGGACCTCGTTGGGGCCCCGGGCCCCCTTGGGACATCCCTGGGGGCCCATTGGGGCCCCCTACTGATGGGTCCGAACGGGTACTTCCAAGGGGGGGCTTTAAGGGGCCCCTTAAGACCTTAGAGGGTCTACGAGGGGCCCCCAGGGCCCCCCTTAGGGTCCAAGGAAGGTGCGGAGGGGCCCTACAGAAGGGGCCCCCAGGGGGGCCCCTCAGGGGGGCCCCTGAGGTGTGAGGGTTTTGGCGAAGCTGGAGGAACTTCGTTTTTTAATGAAGCTGGCAGCTGCCCTTGTGGCTGTGAACACATCAAATCAATTTTGAATTTGAGTCTCAAGTCAAGCACTAAACCCTAAACCCTAGCTAAACCCTAGGAAGGGGCGGAGAACAGCGTGGGCAGCAGAAGGGACCATAATACCCCAATTGCTTTCAGGGTTTTGTGAGCTTTTGTAAACCCTCAAATTAGGGTTTGCTGCACTGAGCTGTGGCTCCCCACAGCTGCTGCATGCACACAGCTGAGGTGTATGTACACCAGAAAAAAGGAAGACCCTAGACGATCCCAGACGATCCCAGGGGTTACAAGGCAGCAGCAGTTTGGGGAACATGCTGCTGTGGGCACTTAACTGCTGCTGCTGCTGCTGCTTCTGCTGCTGCTGCCTGCGGATAGTTCAGGTGTACGTACACCCCAAGCGAAACCCCACGGTGCTAGGGCTCGCCATGCGTTTATAAAACACTGCTTTAGTGTGCGCAAATAAGAATTTTGCTATTTATAAGTTTATTTTAATTATAATAGATTTTAATAATATTACACTTGTAATATGTTATTATCATTCTAATTATAATTGATTTTAATTATATTACAATAATAATATATTATAATTATGCTCCCGAGGGGCCCTATGGGGCCCTCCTGGTTGCCCAGCGAACCTCTGGGGGCCCCCTAGGGGCCCCAGAGGTTCGCTGGGCAACCCTAGGGCCTCCCTGGGGGGGCCCCTAGGTCCTCCCTGAGGGCTACCCCTTAGAGCCTCCTCTTGGGGGCCCCCTGGGGGCCCCCTCTAGCGCCCTCTCATGAGGGCCCCCCACAAGGGCCCTTGGGGGCCCCCCTTGGACGGGGGGGCCCCCTTTGGGGACCCCCTTGGGGGCCCCAAAGGTAATTATCAAGTGGCGAACTGCGCCCCAAAGCGCCCCTATGGGTTTAGGGTTTAGCGTTTAGGGTTTAGTGCGTACTGCAGAGAGTGAAGGGAAACTATTCCTGCACATTCCACTAAACCCTAACTTTTTGTTTCCGTAAACCCTGATTTTTGTCTTTAAACCCTAATTAGTAGTCTATAAACCCTAGTGTGTTTGACTCGAAACGCTAATTTGTGTTTTGCAAGCCCTAATCCCGCGCCTTTCAGGCCTATTTATTCACATCCCTAAACCCTAAACCGTAGACCCTAGGGTTTAGGGTATAGGTGTTTCACAGCAGATCTTTCTGCGCCCAAACCCTACTTTCTAAACCCTAATTATTTGTCTCTAAACCCCAATGGTTGTTTGCTTTTGTCCCTCTAGGTCCTAAACCCTAAAACCCCAAACCCTAGCCAGCGTTTTTCTAAACCCCCGCCCTTGTTAGCCTCCCCTCCAAGCTCTAATATCCAAACCCTAAACCCTAAACCCTAAACCCTAGCTTTCTCCATATCCTGGCATTTAGATACACAGCAGTCACTAGCCTGTACAGCAACAGCAGCCACAGAAATAGCAGCAGCAGCACCACCACCAGCAGCAAAAAGCTGCAGTTTTATCGACAGCGCTAAAGCAGCAGCAACAACAGCAGCAGCCCCCAACAAGAAGCAGCAGCGAATGAAACACCACGTGCAGCTTGGAAGGAGCAGCAGCAACAGCAGCAGCAGCAGCAGCAATAGCAGCAACAGAAGGGGGCAGTAACAGCAGCCGCTGTAAAAGCAGCAGCAGATGCAACACCAGCAAGAGGACCGTCAGCAGCAGCAGAAGCAGCAGCACCGAAGACAGCAAAAGCAGCACCACCGGCAGCAGCAGCAGGAAGAGCAGCCGCACGAGCAACACAGCTGCAAAAGAAAGAAGCAGCGAAAGCAGCAGCAGCAGCAACAACAGCAGCAGCAGCAGCAGAAAAAGCAGCGGCATGGACAGGAACTAACAGCAACAGGAACAGGAGAAACAGCAAGATCGGCAGCAGCAAAAGTTGCAGAAGCAAGAGCAACAACAACAGGATTAGGGACAGCACCAGCAGCAGCAGCAGCAGGAGCAGCAACGCATTAGGAACGAGAGCAGCAACAGTAGCTGCAGCAGCAGCAACAGCAGCAGCAGCAGCGGCCAAAATGGATTGCACGGACGCTGGCCACAGCCCACACAGGAACTGCTGCAGCCAGCGGAGGCTTAACCAAGTTCAACAATGTTGCAGCAGCAGCAGCAGCAGCAGCTGCCGCCGCTGCTGCTGCTGCTGCTGCTGCCGCAGCATTTGGGTCTCTATACAAAGACGTTAACAGCTGTTGCTTCTGCAGTTGATGATGCATTAGCAGCTGCTGCTACGTAGGCGCCACTAAATTCAACTTGTTGCTGCAGCAGGTGCTGCTGCTGCTGCTTCAGCAAGTGCTGTAGCAGCTTCTGCTGACGCTGCTAACTGCTGCGCAGCTGCTGGTTTTGCTGTTGCT